TCCACCGAGACATACAACACACACACACATATATATATATATATATATATACATAATACAAAAATAAACTATTACTTACTACTTCTACTTCTATACCTAATTTGCAATTTTTCACTTATCACAGGTCTTCAGGGTACAGATCCCCCACAATAAAAGAGGAACTACTGTATCTTCTCTTTGGCCATCCTCTGTTGTTTTTTTTTTTTGTTTTTTTGTTTTTTTTTGGCAGCTGCATTTCTAACATCCTTCTACTAATATACACACTGTCCTTCCTCTGGACATGTCCAAACCATCTCAGTCTAGTCTCAGATGCAGTCTCACTTTGTCTCCCAGTCCATCAACATGTGCCCTGATACTCTGATGATCTCATTCCTAATCTTATCCATCCTTGTCACTCCTAAGGAGAACCTCAACATCTTCATTTCTACCACTTTTAGTTTTTTCTCCTGCCTCTTTGCTAGTGTCACTGTCTCCAGACCATATAACATACAGTAGTTGGTCTCACCACTGTCTTGTAAACCTTTCCTTTAAACTTTGCTGCCACCCTGTTGTCACATATCACTCTTGAAACATTTTTCCATCCACTCATCCTGCCTGGACTTTCTTCCTCACCATACTCCTCATTTTCCTGGACAGTGGACCCCAAGTACTTGAAGTCCTGCACCTTTGTGACCTCTGCTCCTTGTAGCCTCACTGTTCCACCGGCCTCCCTCTCATTCACACACATGTATTCTGTCTTACTACAGCTGACTTTCCTTCCTCTTCTTTCAAGTGCACACCTCCACCTCTCCAAATTCTCTTCCACCTGTTCCCTGTTCTCACCACAAATCACAATGTCATCTGCAAACATCATAGTCCATGTGGATTCTTGCTTGACCTCATCTGTTAGTCGGTCCATCATCAGAGCAAACAAGAAGGGGTTCAGAGCTGATCCTTGATGCACCTCCACCTTGAAGCTATATGTCATTCCTACAGCACATCTCACCACTGTCCTGCTGTCCTCATACATGTTCTGTATCAGTCTAACATACTTCTCTGCCACTCCAGATATCCTCATGCAATACCACACCTCCTCCCTCGGCACTCTGTCATATGCTTTTTCTAAATCCACAAAGACACAATGAAGTTCTTTCTGACCCTCTCTGTACTTCTCCATCAGCATTCTCAAGGCAAAGATGGCATCTGTAGTGCTCTTTCTTGACATGAAACCATACTGCTGCTCACCTTTCATCTAAGTGTAGTTTCCTCAACTATCTCCCAGATCTTCATTGTGTGACTCATCATCTTAATTCCCCTGCAGTTGCTACAACTCTGTACATCACTCTTGTTCTTAAAAATGGGCACCGGCACACTTCTTCTCCATTCCTCAGGCATTTTTTCACCCTCAAATATGTCATTGAATATTTGAGTAAAAAAAAAAACAACTCACTGCCATCTCTCCAAGACATTTCCAACCTCTATTGGTATGTCATCAGGTCTTACTGCCTTCCCCTTATTCATTCTTTTCCGAGCTTTTCAACCTTCACCCTCACAAATCTTTCCCACTTCCTTCACTTAATGTCCAGCCTACCATACAACACATCATACACCTTTAGTATGACTGAGCCCCAGTCTTATAAATATCACCTTCTCATAGTGGTGGCCAGAAGGAGAAATCTTACACAAGACAGGCCCTGGAGCAATGTGAATATCCTAAATGGGCCTTCCTGAAAGCAGAGAAGAAATCGAACAGGACTCCAGCCATCAGGTGAAAAGGAGGAACCAAGGCCTAAACCAGTGGTCATTCTGTATGTTGCGAGAGTTTCAGAGAAACTGAGACGTTTACTTTCTAGACATACGTCCCAGTGGTTTTCAAACCCCAAAAATGTTCTAGAATTGCACCGCTCAAGGTGGCTGCATGTTGGAGCAGCTCTGTTACTTTCATTCTGAGATTTTGCTTTTGGAAACTTTAATTCCTCTTTTTCTGGATGCAAATCACATTTTTTGGATGATCGTTTCCTCTGGTATCAGATGCTGTGCAGCTGGAAGGATTTTTACTGAAACTTTTTTAGTTTTAGACATTTGTTATGATGCATAACCATGGCAACAAGGCAGTTTTCTAAAACCAACAGCAGCTGATT